GAAATTGGGTCACAAGGTAGTTCCCTGGTGGGGCTATCCAACACCGTTTGCCGCTTGTCGCTAATATCTTGCGTGGTTCTCGAGATCCTGGGGGGGGGGGGGGCAGATTGCCCTCCCCCAGCAGGGCGCGTTGCTCGGCAGACCCCAGCGGGGCGCGGGCTACCTATACATCATTTCCGCATATATTGTGAAAATTTCAGACCCAGGTCGTTCAAGGTCAGGTAACTAGGTCACGACAAGTGACCTGGTCACCTGACCTTTGACCTGACCCAAAAATGCCGAAGTGATGACAACGCGCGACGGTGATACAAATACACAGTACACATGAGAGCAGTTGCACACCATTGGGTACACACATCACATCATAGAGCTAAGCGGTGACATTGAGAGGATATGCCGATGAAGTGTCGTTTATTTTTGGTCGCAACCGGAAGATGTATAGTGATTCTAAAATTCTTAAATCAGGGAACGAGCTGTTCGTACCAAGAATTTCAAAATTATCGATCGTAAACGGAGCGTCACATGATAACGCATGATCTCTAATGGACGAAACTGCTGGGGTTGATGACATCAGTCTGGTACGAGGAGATCTGCCTTGGTGTTGAGCCACTCTGGTGAATAAACGTTGATACGTGGAACCAACGTATGACGCCAGGCATGAGGCGCAACTAAATTTGTAAATGACACCAGAGCGACTCGGCTTGGGCAGTTTGTCCTTGTAACGGAAAAATGTTCCAATGGTGAACTGGTTACGCAAAACTACTTTAGGGTTCAAATATGGATAATATTTTGTTAATAGGGACACGACTTCACGATGCATCTTAAGCGATTGATCACCATAGAAAGGTAATACAAAGTATTTTTCCAGCTCCTGATTTAAGAATTTTAGAATCACTATACATCTTCCGGTTGCGACCAAAAATAAACGACATTTCATCGGCATAGGGTGAAGTCGTATAAGAGTACGCACTTAGTGGATTTCTTGCTCTCATTTGTTTAATATTTGAAGGAAAGAAATCGCAAATAGGGAATATTAAAGTTCATTGAATTAGCCATCAACCCATGGGGCAACGATCCTTCAGCGTAAATGGAAGTGGTCTAAAACTGACATTTTCTGAACCGTTGCAGTTGCGTACTCTTACCATATGGGGTGTGTAAGAGTACGCACGCCAGGCGGGTGGAGTACGCAAGCATATGAACACACACCTATGCAGCTTGCACTGTCCAAATGCTTAACTTCAAACTCAGAAGGCATTTAAGCTAATTCTAGCATCCAAAAAGAAAAACATAAAATAAATCTTTCAAGTCTTAAATCAGGAAATAATCATGTCGTGTGTTTCTTAAAAAAAAATGCACAATCAAAAAGGAGAATAACTCGTATTTGGAAGAATTTCGGGTACGCATCTGCATCACAGTGCTCCATTGATGATATACCTACAAAACAAACGTCATTGAGCGATAGATTAATAATTCTATATTTCTGTACATTCGATTTAATGTAGGGTAAGGGCGGGTAAGAGTACGCGGGCGATAAGAGTACGCATCAGCTGTTTCGGTTGCTTAGCAACGCGGGTTTGTCGAGTTCATGAAGTGACATGAAGCCGCCAGTGCGTGCTTGTCACCAACGGAACGTGGGCGTTGAGCGGCGACGCTGTTGAGTTTAAGGCGATTAATATTATTTTCGAGCGTTATGATATCATTATGGTATGGTACAATAATTTTGATACTTGGCAGTTGAGATAAGGTACATTTCCGTGATTGTTGTGGGAAACTTGTGAGGTTATCTGGGGAAATACTGTGCAGTGCAATATTCTGTTTGCGAAGTTTTGCACAACGTTTCGGGGTTGTTTTGTGCGCGAATTGCATGTACGGTAAGAGGACGCACTGTTCAGGAGGGTAAGAGTACGCAGAATTATACATTAAATCGAATATACAGAAAAATAAAATTATAAATCTATCGCTCAATGACGTTTGTTTTGTAGGTATATCATCAATGGAGCACTGTGATGCAGATGCGTACCCGAAATTCTTCCAAATACGAGCTATTCTCCCTTTTGATTGTGCATTTTTTCAAGAAACACACGACATGATTATTTCCAGATTTATAGACTTGAAAGATTTATTTTATGTTTTTCTTTTTGGATACTAGAATTAACTTAAATGCCTTCTGAGTTTGAAGTTAAGCATTTGGACAGTACAAGCTGCATACGTGTGTGTTCATATGCTTGCGTACTCCACCCGCCTGGCGTGCGTACTCTTACACACCCCATATGGTAAGAGTACGCAACTGCAGCGGTTCAGAAAATGTCAGTTTTAGACCAGTTCCATTTACGCTGAAGGATCGTTGCCCCATGGGTTGATGGCTAATTCAATGAACTTTAATATTCCCTATTTGCAATTTCTTTCTTTCAAATATTAAACAAATGAGAGCAAGAAATCCACTAAGTGCGTACTCTTATACGACTTCACCCTATAATTCTGCGTACTCTTACCCTCCTGAACAGTGCGTCCTCTTACCGTACATGCAATTCGCGCACAAAACAACCCCGAAACGTTGTGCAAAACTTCGCAAACAGAATATTGCACTATACAGTATTTCCCCAGATAACCTCGCAAGTTTCCCACAACAATCACGGAAATGTACCTTATCTCAACTGCCAAGTATCAAAATTATTGTACCATATCATAATAATATCATAACGCTCGAAAATAATATTCATCGCCTTAAACTCAACAGCGTCGCCGCTCAACGCCCACGTTCCGTTGGTGACATGCACGCACTGGCGGCTTCATGTCACTTCATGAACTCGACAAACCCGCGTTGCTAAGCAACCGAAACAGCTGATGCGTACTCTAATCGCCCGCGTACTCTTACCCGCCCTTACCCTATCCTCTCAATGTCACCGCTTAGCTCTATGACCGAAGTGATTTCGTCATTATTTTTGGCCCTCTTTCGAACGCCGCCTACCGCGTATAGCTACGTGGCTCAGGAGCCGAGTTAGGGGGGGGGGTTCAAACACCCCCCCCCTGCAGCAGAGCGTGGAAATCCAGAACCCCCAGCGGGGCGCGGGTTAAGCCGCAATAGGCCGATATCCTTAAGGTGGCGCAATATGACTTCTCTCCCCTGTGTATAAAACGTATTTCTCGGATTTTTTTTTATATCTGTGACCTAAGGTCGGGTAAATTTTGTGACTTCTCGATTATCAGTCAATGGGAGAAAATTGAAATGAACCTCTTTTGGACGAATGACGTTCAAAACGCTCTCAAACACCGGTTCAAAAGTAAACATGACACACTGAATCGGAAAATGCACCCGCGACCCCTCTGTATGCCTCTGAGGTCATCTCAGGTCATGAACGGTCACCAGCAGTTTTTTTTGCTATAACTTTCGATGGAGACGTGCTAGAGCGGTAAAAACACGTCAGATGTGTTCAGCTCGACGATACGGATCGACTGAGATGCGACATGATCCTCTCCGATCAGGTCACAACCATGACCTGAGGTCAAATTTTCAAAATGACCTTTCAAGGTCAACAAATAGTTCATTCGACGCGTCTCAACGACAGGAACACCATGCTGCCAAAAGTAATGCCGTGGCTCTAGTGAGTCAAAAGTTATTGCCACAACGGCTTTTTTAGTGTTTTAGTGTTGAGAACATATAGGTACTCAAAAAGGTCTGTAAAAGTGCTATCGAATGCGCTTTTCCGCGGCGCTGTAGCTCTATTGGTTCCCGAGTATAGCCGTTGGCAGTTTCCAAAACTATTGAAATTGACTAAATTTGATGTTTGATGAGCTCTGGTGACCTGACCTTTAACCTAACATGACCTGACCTTAACCTGCGCCCCACTGGGGGGGGGGCTATTCAAAGCCCCCTCCCGTTTTTCGGCAATAACTTATAAACCGCTTGACGTATCGCCGCCAATCTTTCAGTACCTTCGGCTGCATCAATTTGACACCTTGTGACAAAATTTGAACTTCGTATCCGAGTGTGTAAATCAAAAATTAGCCTGATCTGACTTGTAAGACGGCAGCCAGAGCCCAAAAGGTGAACAAGCAAAACATCGATAATTTTACTTTGACCTGACCTGTGACGTCATCGGTGACCTCGAGGTCAATGAAATTAGGTTTCTGTGGACAGTTTTTCCGGTGCTATCAGATGCCGTTTGAATTTTGACGATCGGCCCAGTAGTTTTGGAGTTAGGAGGGGGTAGCCCCCCCCCCAATAGGGCGTGTTATACACAGACCCCAGTGGGGCGCGGGTTAAAAATGACCGAAGTGTTTTCTTCCTTATTTTTGACGCTCTTTCGATTGCCGAGGGACTGTCACTGTCAGCCTGGACAGAAAATTGCTAGAGCAAGATTTAGGATGGGTCTGTTTGTCGACAGTCCCGACAGCTGGTGATCGGACATGCTATTTATATAATTTATCTGTTTTTGCTAAATTACCCAAAATTACTTAGGTGATTCCTGAGTCGGCTGAGACGGAATGAGTTCTTAATTTTTTTGTCAGTGTTTTTTTTTCTGTCTCTTATCGTTGAAATGAGCGAAAAATAAGTGGCCTAAAACCGGTGAGAAAACCAGATTTTGGGGTATCCTAGGTTGATTTATGCTACTGCCTTTATCGTATCGATATAAGCACTGGTAAGCTGAGCACCCCCAATCGATTTCATAAAAATCCACCCCTGGACATGACGTCATTTCCGGCCGACCTACGGTAGCTAAAAGCTTGTTTTTAAACACAAGGTCTCAAATTGATGCGACTGAAGCTGCTGTAAGTTTCGTGTTGATATGTCAAGTGTTTTAGAAGATATTGCAGAAAAACAGGAGGGGGCTCCCCCCTCCCCACCCCAGTCATGCGCTGGCTAACAGACAAGATGTCATTCCTTGCCTCACGGTAGAGCGCTCTGCCACTGGATCTTGCACCACCTGGCGTCCCTGGCGCGTTCTTTTCTAGGTCAAAAGGATGACTAATTCTGGGCTTCCAGAAAAGTCACCTGACAGTAATGTTACAGACATTTATTTTTACACAAACAAATGGCATTGGTGAACCACAGTTGGACGTAGGACAACATGCACCAAATGTGGAAACAATTGCAAATAGTACACAACGGTTAAATGGCATGCGACATCTAACTATTCAGCATTCACATTTGAGCAAGTAACAAAGTCTTCCTTGACAAGGTTAACTGCAAATCGAAAGTCCTTCGTATCACGAAAACAGCCTCGCGACAACAACAACAAGAAAACGCATAACAACGTTAACGACACAGATAACAATCAGAACCGCTATTAGCATTAAGCCTGTAAAAGTAAGAAATGCCAACAAATGTGGAAAAGCGTTTCATCTGAGCAAATACGCAAACTTGTCTACAAAAACGTTGTTCCCTGAAGCACCGTTTACTCGTTAAATGTTTCTTGCATTCGAGGCTGGCCTATCATTTCTCCTGGATGCTTTATTTTACTGTGACCACGAGTCTTCAAAGTCCCTCTGGAGCTGGTTCATCCAGACCGAGTGGTCCACCTCCCACTCGTCATTGTCCAGACCTCTGCCGGACTGGCTGAGCTGAGTGGCGGCCGCGGCGACAGCGACGACAACAACAACGGCAACCACGACGCCGACGACCGCGCCGATCGGACCTGTGGAAACGGGAAACAGGGGCATTTTACTCTGGTATAGCTGGTGATGAAAAAAACTCATGGAAAATACATATAAGAATTTTTCCATATATGTATATCATGTCGCGAATTCCGTGTGCCGTGCTGTCACTTTGTGTTTTCATGGTATAGCTTTGAAAAAGGATCGAGATGATCCGAAACGGCTAGCTTTTTAACGATTACACAACGATCGATTGACTCCGAAGTGTGGCTTATAATATTTATAAAGGAATATTTTAAGGAGTCTCAGAGTTACGGAGAGGCGTCACTAACCAATTCCAGCAAGAAGGCCCGCGATGCCCTGACGTCGGTTAGATCCTCCAAATCCTCCAAGAAGTCTGTCGAACCATCTGCAATTACATAATGTTAACATCTCCTTAACTGTTAAAATATATTTCAAAACTTATTTTATTGTCATCTGTTGCGATTAGCTTGATTTATTTACAAGAAAATAGTTTAAAAAGTAGATATCTATATCGTTTTTTTCTCAAACCGATGCCCTAAGATCAAGTCAATTTCATGACTCCTTTTCCATGAACAATGATGATCATTATTATTGTTTTAAAATCGAAAATACTTCATACCTTATTTTGCAACTGTGTATCACAGGAAAAACAAATATAGTGTTATTATTTTTCTTAAGAAATTAAGGAGGTAAAATATGTTCCCCTTAACACATACCCTTGACGCCTTGTAGGCTGATACTGCTGCTCGTAGTAATTATTGTAGGCACCGGGGGCCGACTGGGCCACGGACTGGGGCTGGTAAAAGCCCTCGTCGGCAGAGACGGCGGCCACCACGGCCAGCAGTAGACACACGGACAGCTTCATGATGCAAACTGAAACGCAAACAAATCAATGACGCCCGCATGCGGTGACAACCAGGATTGATGCAAAATGTAGCAGCCATCGCACTACGATGGTGACAGAAGCACCGTTCTGAATTTCCTAATGATGAGCTTCACGCATAGCAAGTGACACGCTTCGAAATCAAGTGTTGATACAGCCGGTGGGTATCACATCGCCACTGGATGACACGGAACGATCACAGCACAACTCTCTCCGGGGCCCACTGACACCACACTGGGTCTGCACCACTGCACCATCACACCACTGGTGAGCCGCGCTCCTCGCTGGAGCGGCTGTAGGAGACACTGGTCAGTCGGCGGTCAGCCAGCCGAGTCCGAGTGACGGCCGCCACTGCGGCGCCACCAGTGCCCGCCCCGTCCTCCTGAGTCCTCACCTCGCTGGCAGGACCACCGAAACAGAATGGGATGGTGAAACGGGTGTGCGCACCGGTTAAATACCCTCGCTGTCCGTCCCACGGCTTTCACAAAAGCTGTCGTTCGACCAAATCTTACACACGGTAATTGAATCGGAACTATGTTATGCAGAGTTCTCTGCTGACACGGTGCCATGCGAAACAAGATGTGCTATCAGTTTTAGTTAATAAAATATGATACATTTACTGTTAAAAAAAAAAACAGAGCAGGGAATGATATTAATTAGTTGAATGGTAAACTGTGCTGTGATTAAAAAACCTTTATCGTTCAGAAAGTCATCCACCGCTTTCTTATCCACAATGTGAATTAACCCTCGCCAGACCAGTACCTATCTTTTCGTGAGCGGTCGGGGGAAGGGAAGGCTACGACCTCCGCCCCTGGCGTATGGGTCCTATGGCTTTAAAAACCGCCAATTTTTCAGGAGGTGCGCCCGTAGGAAATCTGGCCCTTGAGCAAATTTGGTGCCTCCAGGCAAATATTTATGGGATTTGAAAGGCATAAATGTTAACCCTCGCCCGTAAACGGTGTTTTGCCACCTTCGCCCATGCAGGGGGGGGGGGTTGGTGCGACCCCCCTGGCGTTTGAAAACGGAGCGTCGTAGAGCTTAGCGGAAACGACCAACAGATTGCTCTCAACGAAATCTCGCGATTAGTGGTATATTTTTTGGTCCTAGATGACCGGTCAAAGGTCAAATTTTCGGAACAATCTAGCTTAATCAGATTTCCGCGCCGATTGCGGCAAAACGGTAAGAGATATCGACTTGAAACCTTCACTATCGTGATCCTTGATCAATTCTCTATCGTTTGGTGTGTATTTCGATGTCATAACTCTAAAAATAATGCGTTGGGAGCATCGGAAGTCTGCAAGGTCATTTGTGCATTGAGTCACGTCAGGCGTGTGACGTCACTGACCTGACCCTGACCCAAAATGAACTACAAGAAACAACCGACGATGCCTGAAATGGATAGCAAATTCGAATTCAGGGCATCTAAATACTCCGAAAAGGCATACAAGTGCAAGAAGTCATTACAGGTCAACCGAGGTCACTGACCTGACCTTGACCTTTAGTAACCTTGAAAAGGTCAACGGACATTGTGCCAATGTCAAATCAGCCAGTTATGATTCTAAAACAATCCATCAGTGTGTCAGGTCAGTCGGCATTTATACCAATGTGAAGCAATCTCCCATTTAGCGTAAATCTGGCCGGAGGTTGTTCCCTTTATGACGTCATAACTCCGTGACCTGACATGACCTTGACAAAAAATAAAATACCAAAAGTTGCGCAAAGGATGCCCCATAGGGTACTAAAAATTTGAGCAGGCTATCTTAAACGGTTCGGCGTGTAGCTAAGAAAAACCTCAGGGGGGGGGGGCTGCACCACCACCCCCCCTACATGGGCGAGGGTTAACCCGCGCACCGACCACTCGTGCTATAATCACTCATCTCGTGCGTTAAAACCATTTATGCACGGGAAACCGTGTATTATGTATAATTCATTTATCTCCACAGAATATGTTAAATTATTGCTGCTGAAGTTCGCTTTCGAAGCGTCTCCTCCAGACATTCCACAGCTCTCTAGTGCCATTTTGGATCACGGAACATGGCTGGGCGCGGGACAGGTCGTCTGCGAGATTGGATGGACCACGTGACCACCTCCTCCCCTCCCCCTCACTCCCGTCCCCTTCCCCAGCAGGACGTCCGATCTAACCGCGTCCCAGGCAGTCGGCTCGGTCGAGCCACGGTGTCGCCTGAGTCCCTGGTCGAGCCACGGTGTCGCCTGAGTCTGTGACGGGTGCAAAACTGGAGCAGTAACTAGCGCCGGAACTAGTAATCAGCACGACCATCGTCAGATGGCAGGATTGAATGGAATAAGCGGTTCCAGGGTTTCAGAAGGAATGGGGCAGGAAAAAGCGCTGAAAACAATGTTTTGCTGATACAGCCATAAAACGTTCACCGAATTAACCCTCGCCCCGTTGGGGGGCCATTTTACCCCCCCCCCCCCTTGTGGTTTTTCCTAAATAGCAAGAACACGGCGCCGCGCAGTGCCGCCAAATTTTCAGTACCTCCCCGGGCATCAATTTAACACCTTCACACCGAATTTCAAGTCTTAGGTCACCTTAGGTCAGGAGTTATTGAGGTCAAACTGAGGTCATGTTCGAGCAAAGATGAGCAAAAAACATGCAATCTTGAAACGCTCACCAAATTTACAGTTACCAAGCAATTTCAAAGTTCTTTATATGGTCTAGTAGACAAAAATCGGCGCTACAAAACTGCTATCTCGGATTTTCAAAATTTTGGGTTTTTGACCCCCAAAAATTCAAAAAATTGATTTTTTTAGAAAAACTAAAAAAAAACAAAAAAATTTCGAATTTCGAAAAAATCGGAATATATATGATAGTCCCTGTGCTCTTCTACAAATATACCAAATTTCAGATCGATATCTCGTTTTTTAGCCAAGTTATAGCAAAAAAAAAAACTGTTCAAAAATGAGGATGTCAAATTTTTTAACTCAATTTTTAGCGATTCTAGACGACGTAGAGCAAAACAAAGACCACCATTGAACTCTCCGTGACGAGCTGCATCGAATCGATACCCATTTTATGCAAAAATATTAACTTTGAAATTTGACCTAATTTGACCTGACCTTGACCAAAACTTGACCTAAGCTGGCCCAAACGTCTGCCTGACCCACATTATCGCATTTGTCATGTAAAATGGACCATAAAACATGTATCACACGACACTTTCATATTGTTCCCCCAGTGACCTGACCTCTGTGACCTGACCTGGTATCAGTGATTTCAAATAGCAAAATATGTGTTTGAAGAACATTTCCCCATCGATGATTTTCAATGAAATGCAATTTACTCGATTTTACAACGCATTTCTTGAAATGCCTGTAAACGGTGAAAATTCGACATTTGACCTGACCTGTGACGTCATCGGTTTGACCTAGGTCAACAAAATTGGGTCACAAGGTAGTTCCCTGATAGGGCTATCCAACACCGTTTGCCGCTTGTCGCTAGGTTGCGTGGTTCTCGAGATCTTAGGGGGGGCAAATTGGCCCCCCCAACGGGGCGCGTTGCTCGGCAGAGCCCAACGGGGCGCGGGTTAAGAGAGCAGCACATCAGTTTAAAGCCCTTCAGATGGTGGCTTTAATAAGCACACAATCATTTCCCTATTCGCCTCCAGCGGTGTTACAGGCCAAGAATACAGTGAAATACTAGTGTGTACAGAAGCAACTGCGGGTCCCTGTACACATACCTACCTACCTATTCAATTTCATGTCTATCAAAAGTTTATGTGAAAAAAAAAACTGCTGGAAGCCTTTCATGATCTGAGATGACCTCAGTCCTCAGGGGCACAAAGAGGGGCCATGGGTACAATTTTCCGATTGATTGTGTCATGTTTACCTGTAATTCGATGCTTGGGACTGTTTAGGACGATGTTCGTCCAAACAAGGCGCATTTCGATCTTATTTATCCCAATGACTTATAATGGAGAGGTCACCAAATTCACCTGACCTTAGGTCACCGAGATCAATGTTCAAAGATATACATTTCATGCATACTACCAGTATAACGCCTTTTGGGGCGACTAACGGAGCGAGCGAGAGGGTGGGCCTTGCACGTGCGAAATTTCGAGGGGGTACCTCCAACTGACTTGTGCACGGCACCTTACTAACCGGTCTCTAGCGATGTGCCAAATTTGAGCACAATCGGCCCAGCCGTTCTCGAGATCTGGAAGCGGCACCCTGCACGTGCGCACGTGCAAAATGGGTCCCAACTGACTTGTGCACGGCACCCTACTAACTGGTCCCTAACCATGCACCAAATTTGAGCGCAATCGGTCCAGTCGTTCTCGAGATCTGGAAACAACCCCTGTTCGTGCGCACGTGCAGCAGCACCCCAACTCTGGCACATGGATATGCAGTGCCTAGTGGGTGCCTACCTACATACCAACTTTCAGCGCAATCGGCCAAGTAGTTACCGAGATATTGCAACAATTACAAAAGTGACACCTCTTCGTTTTGCACGTGGCACGTGCATAAGGGGTCACCCACATGCATCGGGAATAGTGCAATACTTGGTAGAAGGAATGAAGCTACCCTATAAAAATTACCGCATGTAAATCGGTCAAGTGGTTGCTGAGATATAAGCCTCGCAAAAGCGTGACCACGGCCGGCCGGCCGGCCGGCCGGCCGCTCATACTCAGAAATTTCCGTTAATCTAAGGAAAGACTACGCTCGCTTCGCTCGCTCCGTAATTACTCTTAGAAATCGCTGAAAAGTCGACCCAAGTCGACGGCGTGCTCAGTTGAGCGAACGCTTTGACGTCATCGACCACTATATTTTACTGCGGAAACAGTCTGCCACTGCATGAGATCTCCTGGTTCGCCGCCGATCTTCGGGGATACACACCGAGCGTGTCCGTGAACGATGGGTCCGGATGTAGGGTGCTGTCGCGGCCGCTCGCCAACGACATGGGTGTCTTCCAAGGCTCAGTTTCAGGACCACTCTTATTAATTATATTCGCCAATGACTTACCTCTAAAATGCTGATAGAGCTCTAGTGTTTCAATACGTAGATCCGGCAGATGACACCCAGCTGTTGGTGAGCGCGGGCCGTATAGCCGAAAGACGACGTCTGCACCTCTCGCGTGGAACGATCATTTATCGGGGTTACATGAGCACAGTAAATACGTATTTAGCCGCTAATGCGAATTAGGAACGCATTACCGACTCATGTAGCCACCTGCTAGTACGAATCGGCGATCCGAACCGCGGTTACATGAGCAAAGCAAATACGTATCACGATCGGATTCACCGCTAATGCGAATCAGGAACGTACTACCGACTCATGTATCCACCTGCTAATACGAATCGGCGGTCCGAACAAAATCCGCTGAGAAACAGGCTTAGGAGCGAATAGGACCAAGATACGTATTACAGGAACTATTACTTCCCAAAAAGAAGTCTTAAAATGAAA